TATAGCTAACTAGGTACTCAATTATCTAGTACTTATTTTTAGGCCAGGGCTTATATTTTCTTAGCTCGATTATATCCCTCAAGTTATAGCTATTAAGAAGCTTTATAGTTGCCTTAAGCTTATCTCCCAAAAGTTAGTATAGCTATACTTATAGGTACTACTTTTAACTATATGCCTCTAGGATAATACAGGACTTATAGGTATAATAGATAATAACTCTATAAGCTAGATTATATAATAATATAATGAGAATATACTTTGAGACAAGAGAATACTTATTAAAAGATAATAGGGAAGGTGCCCCTTTACCGAAATTCCTTTTACCGGAAAGTATATTAGTTAGTAATATATATACTAATTAGTATACGGGCATTCTTACTTTTCACTAAAAAAGGGGCCCCATATAAGAAATAGATATTAACTAGCCTTTATATTCTAGCCTCTATATTCTGTAATATGTAATAAAACTTTATAGTCCTAAGCTTACCCTAGTTTAGCCAGAACAAGAGCTGCTATATAATTAGCCTGGATATACTCGTTCCTCTTAAGTAATACCATTTCTCTAAGCCAGAGTATATACTCAAGTTTAGTCTAGAATATCTGCCGGAAGTACTTTTATAGCCAATTACTATTACCTGCCCGTTTATATATCCCGTAATAAAGCGGTATAATTATATTAGGAAACTAATATTCTATTTCCTTATACTCTAGATCCGCTATCCGGCAAATATCCTATAGCTAATAATAGTTCTAGTAAGCTATATATTACTAAATCTACTTTTTCTCTTCTCTCTTCTATATCTGGTATATCTTATTCTTTATATGAATCTAGTAAAACTACCAGAAGCAAGTATCTAGTATGTAATTAAATTTATGGCCAAGTATATAATAATAGAGATAACTACCTAATATAACTTTAAGGTCTCGCTTATAGCTATTAAGTACCTAATCTCGGATATAGTCTTGCTATAATATCTTATCCGGACTAGTAAATTATATTCCTCTGGTTACTACTAATTCAAATTTCAAGTCGAGAGGCCGGGCTTTGGTATAAGGCTCTCTATAGACCTGGTATATCTCTTTGCCTACTATATACTATTACTAATTTGGCCGATTATCCAAAAACTGGCTAAGAATGCTCCGGAAGCAGTATTACTAGGTCAAATATAGCTATATGGCCTCCCGATTAGAAGAGAGGGACTTATTTACTTATGGCTTTTACCCGGAATATAAGAAAATAATAGAAAAAGCCTTCTTACTATCTCGGCCTATTTTACTAGATTCCTGAGAAAAGGCAGATACTTTACTAGGCGTATTTATATAAACTACTTATTATATATAAGAATAGTTAAACCTAATCCCGAGAGTAGATATAGTTATAATTACGAGCTAGTCTTTATTAGTAATTCACTAGGAGAGAATAGTAGCCTTTTCTTTATTAGACCCTAATTTGGAGATATATAATAAATACTATAGAAGATTAGTAAGCTAAGCTACTTTATTTTATATATAATAGTAAATAATAATCTTATTCCAGAAATAATTAAAGATCTCTTACTTAGGCTAGTATACTTATATTAGATTAGTAGCTCTCTTAATTAAGGGCCCGGGTCTAGCTTTAAAGCTAACTATATACTTAATATTAGGCCGGTTAGTCGACTCTCGGATAATCCTAGGCTTTATAAGCTTATTATACTTAATAAACTCTTTTTATATTACTAGGGGAAATATAGCTATTAGCCAGACTATCTATATCCTAATCTGCCAGATATACTAGCCTAGTTAGGCTATATATAGCCGGTAGTTACTAGCTATAATAGTAAAATAACTCTTATTAATTATAATATAGTCTAGCTTCTGCTTACTAACTAGAATATAATAGTATTTAAGAAAGCCTTAAGTATATATAGCTTTAGCTAATATAATAACTAACGAAGCTAACTATTAGTAGTTAATAGACCAGATTAGTGGCCGGATACCTATTTCGTAAAAGCATCTTAGTATATTGCCTTATAGAGTAACTATTAGTAGAACTAGGATTATAGTCCTAGTATCTGTAATTATAGCTTTAATTATAATAACCAAAGTCTTACCGGAGCCGGTTCCTATTACTAGAACTACCTGCTTGGCTAGCTAAGGCCCTATAATAGCAAGTACTTTATTCTACTAACCAGGGACCCGGAATTATAAGCCTAGTATATTATATAGTTTCCGAATAATAGCAAGTAAATTAGCCTCAAAATATATACCTTTCCTATATATCTGACTATATTTGGAAGTATCTAGTATTTGTAGTAATAGTATCTCTAAAGTATCCCGTAGCCTCTTTCCCTATAGAATATAGTTAAACCGGAAGAATATATACTAACTCTTGGATACTCGGTAATTCCGGTATAGTAAAGTATTTATAATAAGTATTATTATTTTAGTATATATATAATTAAAAGTATAATATATATAATTACTTAGTTCTGCCAGAGTAACTAGATCTAGCTCGTCCTTAATATCCTCTCCTATATCTTCCTTAAGATCAAAATTCGCCTATTCCTTAATAGAAAACTTCTCCTTTATAATTAATACTATAAACTATTACTAGTTTAATATATATAGGTGCGGTATCTTAGTATAAGTATATACTTTTATTAGGCAGGCCAAAAGCATCCTATTAGCCTATACTATCCCGTCTAGCTTAGCCCAGAAATATAGAGAGATGAGAGTACCTAAAGTCTGTTATTAGAAGAATAGTTACCTTAGAGGCAGGACATATATAATATACGAAAGTAATAGATCCCTAATTACCTTTAGTAAGAATTAGATATTATTCTTATATATACCGGACTATTACTAACCCTTATAATACTGGGTATAGATTATAACTAGCTTCTCCTATATTAATAAGTAGTACTATTAAGTATTATTATACCATATTACTAATAATAACTCGGATACTTGTAATAGTAGACTGCCGGGGATATGGAATAATACTAATACTTACTCTAGGAATTCCTGAGTATATATCTCGTAAATAGCTATAGCCTTTAGATATAAGATCATGTTCCTATCCTTACTATTAGTTAAAAACATGGCCCGGAGCTTAGTATTACCCTGGATCCGCCGGATAAAAGTAAGCTTAATACTTTCTAGAAACTCAGTATTACTAGGATAAGAGAGCTATAAGCTACTAAAATCTTCCAGATCTAGGTTATCCTTTAGCCTTTATAATTCTATTAGGATAAGGTCCTTGGCTTGGAATAGGAGCTTATTATAAAGTAAGATATGGGCTTATTAATATTCGGAAACTATTAAGTCAAAGATCTGTAATATCTGTAATTTTACCCTATAATATTTCACTATCTGTTTATCTAAGAACTACCGAGCTTGGTATTTTGTAATAGTAGCTTTTCTAACCTTAAATAAGTATAGCCTCTACTATAGAATATGTCCAAACGGGGTCTTAGCTAGCTACTAGAAGAACTTCTTATAGATCTTGGTAAGAAAGACGGGGATTTAATCTTCATTATCTTACTCTTAGAAACAAGTATAGTTAAAAAGTACTAGCTAAGTAGTCCAGATTAGAGCTAATAAATGGCTATTGAAATTCCCCGGCTCCTCCTATAATCCCCGGCCTTTCCTATAAACTTTCCTACTTAGTATAATATAGAAACTCAAGATAGGAAACTTAAATGGCATACTACTAATAGTATAGCAAATTAGAGCCAAGTAAAGTCGCTAAATAGTATACTTGAGAGCTAGCTTAGCCTCCTCCATATCCTTAATAGCCAAGGCTTCTATAATCTCATTTATAGCTTGGATCTATAAAGTAGTTGGCTAGATAATATTCCCGGGCAGTACTTGCTCTGGCTTAGCCCGGGTAAAATAGCCGCCTTTATAATATACTATATAATAGTAGTATACTAATAACTACTTTATAGTAGTAAAGTAGGTAACTAGGGTTAATATATTCTTGAAATACCGGAACCTATCTGCTTTACCTAAAGCCCTAATATAGAATTTGTTTAGGATATTAGCCTGCTACTATATTATTTTCCGGTCTAGCAAGGTATTACTATATAACTAGTATACGTCTCTCAAGGCAGCCTTGGCTATAACTAAAATTCGGACGAGATTAGGATCCTTAGTATTCTTACTATCTATATTAAGCTCTTTCTTTAGTAATAGCTTATACGAGCTCCAGATCTCCTTATCCTTTAGTATAGTCAGATAATATAGAAAACCCATTATATTATATAGTTATAGTACCCTTTCCGACCTTGAATCTCTAATATCCTAAACTATAATTACTTGCTTCTCAAGATCATATTTTATATTCTTATAATCCTTCTCTAATTACTTAAATAGTTCCTTCTCTAGCTTAGTTAATAATATAGAGCCTCTGGCTATTTCCCTACCTTTCTCCCTATCTACTACTATAAAATAATTAATCCGGCCCTTTATAGTAAAGTATATCTATAGCTTATACTCTTTCTATAACTAACTACTCTTATGAGACCTTGCTTCGGTCTTATGGCAAGCAGCCCAGTATTTCTTTATCTTGGGGAGATAGCGGGTACTATAGCTATACTGCGACTATAGATAGTAGATACTATTATAGCTAACCAGGTACTTAATTATCTGGTACCTGTCTTCGGGCCGGGGCTTGTACTCTCTGAGCTCGGCTATACTCCTCAGGTTATAGCTACTAAGGAGCTATGCAGTCGCCTTGAGCTCGTCTCCCAAGAGTCGGTATAACTGCGCTTGCAGGTGCCGCTCTTGACTACGTACCCCTGGAATAACGCAGGACTTGCAGATATGGCAGATAGTAACCCTGTAAATCGGATTATACGAGAACATGACGAGTACGTGCTTCGAGACGAGGGAATACTTATTTAAAGGGGGGTGGGGAGTAGTAGGGGAGGTGCCCTTTTACCGAAATCCCTTTTACCGGAAAGTGCATTAGTCAGCAGCGCACGCACTAATCAGTGCACTGGCATTCTCACCTTTCACCGAAAAAGGGGCCTCACATAAGAGGTAGGCTCTGTGGGTCCAATATAAATATCGGTTGGGCGTATTAGTCTGATACTGCCAGCTGAATCGATAGTTAGTGGCTTGAAAAGCATGCGTTTGAAGCTGGTCTTACACATCATGTCTTTCCAGTGTGCCAAAAAGCCCGGTAAACGCTGCAAAAATGACAGTACGGGGGAATATTCGCAGCCGAATCCCCTAATACTGTCAATAACTCATCTCAATGGTTGCATCTAGTACTCACAAGGTAGGATAGAAAAGCTGGCTGTAGTGATCCACATTTGGAAATAGCTCTCTCTTCACGAAATATTCATCGTGCTCGGTAGCCGTATGAATAGCCTCCGCAACATCATAGAAAGGAATGGAATCAGTACCCAACTCTTTCAACAACTCCAATACCGGGGCAACTCTCGGATCAATAGTCTTGTAGGAAGCGTGACCGTATCCATAAAGTCTCACTTCCTTACGTTTCACTTTTTCTATCAACGTAGGAACATTTTCAGGAATTCCCACCTTTGCAATAGTTCTGTATGCAGCTTCTTGCGCTCCGAAGTGTAACAACCCGCTGCAAGCAGTGAGTGCTCCAATTAAGGAAGAGATAGGATCGGTTAATGAGGAGGACGCAACCCGCAAGGCAAATGTTGAATTTGTCATGCCGTGGTCTACAATGACCGGACCCCATCGCCTGAAGCAACATAATTTTGTGGGATTCGGTTGCGCCGTCGAGGACTCGATGTTTCCACTCATAGTGAATATGTTCTCGTAGAAAGTCCTATCCGGGGACGGCGGGGTGAATTCACAGCCTTTGCGATAGCTGATTGTAAGACCAAGAACTACTCCATACGCTGCAATTGTGCGAATGATTGCTTCGTCGACTTTTTCCAGGTTTCCGTGGAAGATGTTCTTTGCTGCCAGAGAGGGGATAGAGTCTGGTTCGGATGCTAGCCAAGCGGATAGACCGGCAATTACAATTGGCATTGGTGGTGCAGATGTACTTGGACTCTCGCAATTAGCCAAAATATACTAAAGAGAGAGAGACGAGTTGACTCACGGAAAGCTCTTAATGACTTTGGGAACGCTTGGAGGGATCTTTGTCATTGCAGCAGCAAGAGAATAACGTAGGACTTCTCTCTGAGAAGCGGTTGGTAGCTCTTCCCATATCATTAAGTGTAGAATGTCCTCGAAGTCTGTACCGGATAGCTCTTCGAGAGTATGACCATGGAAGAGAAGAAAACCTCTTTCTCCGTCACTGCAAGTCAATATTAGTAAAGTCTCAGGTGAAGAAATGGATACCACTTACGCCCAGGTAATATGATTCTCGGACACAGCAGTATTGAGAAGACGTGGATCGTAGATGCGAAGGCCATTAGCCACTTTGTCCGCGCGACGAGAGTCTTCAGCAGGACATTTGATCTTCTTGAATTCTGTTGCCTCAACAGAATTTCGCCGGATTGGAATCTCGTATTCGAGTGAAGTGCGAGAATCTTTGATGTACAAAATGCCATTGGACGTGCTTGGTGCCTCTTCTGCCATAATGACAACAGCAGGCTCTCCCATGATGAACAAGAATGAAGCTGCGAGACTTTGCGTATGGAAGGATCAGACGAATTTTTGATTGGGATGGCTGATAGACCCTATGTTCTGTCGTTTTGCTTCCCAACCGTTATATGATATCAGAACAGGACGTAATTTGTGCGAGATGGGAGATTATACAATACATCTAAATATGAAGGGATCCTAGCTGCATGAGAGTCGACGGCCACTGCTGCACTGCAGGACTGAATAAGCATGTAGGGCCGTCATACATGATATTTGACACATTGCAGGACTTGGGAGGGACGGGACGAGATGAACAACCCACCCCAAGGAGGGAAATGCAGGAAGGAGGGGCGCAGGCACAGACGGGATAACTTCAGCAAGTATTCGTGGTGTTTAGAAGTCTGTAAATGGGCTAGACATCCCGTCGCCACTTTCTAACATATTCTCGCTTTCTTAACCAATAAAGACAGTTTAAAGGGCTGGGCTATATTTTAAAGGGGGGCGTCCAAAATAGGCAATACAAACCGAGACCAACGACTGAGCCGTCTTAACCAATTGCATTTAATATTCAAGTGTATTTAATATTCAAGTGTATTTAATATTCAAGTGTATTTAATATTCAAGTGTATTTAATATTCAAGTGTATTTAATATTCAACTGTATTTAATATTCAAGTGTATTTAATAACCAACTGTATTTAATAATCAACTGCATTTAATAACCAACTGCATTTAATAACCAACTGCATTTAATAACCAACTGCATTTAATAACCAACTGCATTTAATAACTAACCGCAATTTAGTAGCCTAAAGCCCTATAACCATGCTAGTGTAGTTATAAGACTTTTGGTACGACCTCAGTTTTCTTGCCGAAGCCAGACCCCGCTGCTAGTGCTAGCAATGACTCACCGGACGAGGGGGATATCCAGTCGGTCCGATCTAAAAGCAATAAAATAGTCGTTCTTTTGTATCTATAATAACTTTTTAACTATAACTCTAATTAATTAATACTAAGTAATGCAATTATAGAAAAAAAACCAGGCAAATACAACCTATTAATTAGATTTGTAATGCGATTTGTAATTAATTAATAATCGGGTTTTTAATATATATAATTTTTTTTACTTTTTTACTTTTTAATTATATAAAACGCGAAAATATTTTATGAAAGTTATATATATCTAAGCAAATAGTAAATTAGACTTAGACTTACAAGGCCTTATAAGGCCCTTTAAGCTTTTATAAGCTTAATATATATAATAAAAGCTTAAATTTCAAAGAGTTATTATTAAAGAAAGTATAAATTATAAAAAATCTATAATCCTAATTACGTGTAATCTCATATATTATACGAGGTATAATTTTTTACTTATATAAAACACGAAATTTTTTATATAAGCTTATATAAAAATAATTATATATTTGACTCTTATAATATTAAAGGTATTAAAAATTAGAGATTAGAGAATTAATTACTATAATATATATAATAATTCCGATTAATACGATTTATATTAGTTAGTATTTTAATAGTAATTTTTTTTTCTTTATTGCTTTTGGATCAGATTAATTATACCGTGCAATATTTCGGAAACAAAGTACATAATAGCCTGGGGATACAATGCACACGTTACAAAGGTAGGGGAGACTGTAAGGCTATGAGAGGTTGTCCAGGCCCCAGGTGCCCTCATCGACATGTTTCGCTTGTATTGCACTGGTGTTGTGTCGGAGTACCGGAATGATTCCGAAGGATGCCGGGTGCCAGCAATATGCAATGCGGCGATGCAGGGATGTGGGGGGATAAAGACGAAGTTCTGCGATGTTGTTTAGGAGATTACTGAACTGCTGCAACACAAACTTGCTCACAAGTAAATTATCAGCAGTTTCTACTTACGACACCGCAAGGTTTTTGTTGCCCGTAGAAACAAAGACGACTCAAAGACTTCAGTTTCTGATAGCGGTCTATTTTTTGCTGTATTCTGAGAGCAGAATGCAATGCAAGGGCTCAACGAATAGGGGTTCTCGTGTGCTTAAATAACCGGGAATAGATCTGGACACCGCACAGTAGCCGATCATCTCCCAACCCTTTTCTGTTTCACAGGGTATAAGGAAGTGACGACCGAGCAATTGTCGGCCTTCACTTTGGATACAAACTTTCGTCCAACTCTCGCTCTCATCTCAGTCTCGGATCGGATCAAACAAACACAGTCGGACCTCGAACTTATCGCACCAAGTCAAAGCCATGGCAAGCCCTGAGAGGGCAGCAGAGCCCGAAATAGTCACACAGTCCACAGAACCAGCACTCGAACACGAACAAAATGCTGCAGTAGAGCAAGCCAACACCCCCACAGAAATTCCTTATGAAGTTCATTCAATTTTCAGTCCAAACAACAAGAAATTCATCATCCTCACAGCCTCCACCGCGGCGTTCTTCTCTCCTCTATCGTCAAATATTTACCTGCCTGCTCTCAATTTGCTGGCTCGCGATTTACATGTCAGTGATAGCAAAATCAATTTGACGGTCACAACTTATTTAGTAAGTAATTTCTTCGATGCTTTCCTACTATCATAATACTAACAAATTGAAGATATTCCAAGCAATTTCACCCTTGATGGTAGCTGGATTTTCCGACAACTCAGGTCGACGACCAGCATATATCATCTGCTTCATTTTCTACGTCGCCGCCAATATCGGCTTAGCTCTCCAAAATAATTATGTAGCTCTTCTCATTTTAAGATGTTTCCAAAGTGCAGGAAGCAGCGGAACAGTAGCTCTTTGCCAAGGAGTAGTCGCCGACATAGCAACTTCCGCCGAAAGAGGAAAATACGTCGCATACTCTTCAGTCAGCACGATTCTCGGACCAACTCTATCACCCATCATAGGAGGTCTCCTGAGTCAATACCTCGGATGGAAAGCCATATTCTGGTTCTTGACAATCTTCGCCGTGCCCATATTCATCCTTCTCATGCTCTTCCTTCCAGAGACATGTCATAAAGTCGTAGGCAATGGCTCTATACCACCAACTCATTTCCTCAACAAATCTGTAATGAGTTATCTCATCGAGAAGAAGCTCGCCAAAGAAGGCACACCAATCGACCGCGCCCAACAAGAAGCCTTAGCCAAAAACACGTATTGGAAATTTCCAAATCCACTCGCAACACTCGTTGTTCTCTTTAACAAAGAAGCCGCTTTCCTAATGCTATACATCGGTCTTCTCCTAGCAGTCCACTACTTAATCCTCTCCGGAATCCCATCCATCTACGCAGCAACTTACAACCTCAACGAAATCCAAATCGCGCTCGTATACATTCCCTATGGATTCGGAAGTGTAGTCTCAGCTTTCACAACCGGAAAACTGGTTGATTGGAATTATCGACGCCACGCAAAACGTCTTGATTTCCCTCTCGTACTCAATCGGAAATTGGATTTAACTGACTTTCCCATCGAGAGAGCAAGACTCGAGGTAGCTTTGCCCCTTCTCTATTTCGGTAGTGCTCTTATCATCGTTTACGGCTGGCTCTTGACTCTGAATGTCAGTTTGGCAGGCCCTCTTATTCTGCTTTTCTTTATTGGTTGGTGTATTTTTGCAATATATCAGGTGACAGCTATCCTGGTTGTGGATATATATCCTGATAATCCAGCGACAGCTACAGCAGCGAATAATTTGATTAGATGTTTGTTTAGTGCGGGGTCGACGGCGGTCTGTGTACTTATGTTGCAGGGGATTGGGAGAGGTTGGACTTATACGCTTGCGGCACTGTTGTTTGTGGCGCTGAGTCCGGTGTTGTGGGTTTTGATTAAGTTTGGACCTGGGTGGAGGAGGGTGATAAAGGAGAGTAAGGGGGGAAAAAAACTAGAGGGGATTTGGATTATACTGCGGAGCTCAGGGATTTGAGTACGAGTCAGGACAACGATGGAACTATCATTCTTGAGACGAAGTGAATTATATAGACAATAGAATATGAGAGCATCTCGGGGCCCTTTCTTGTTCAAAGCCACCCATGCAATGATATTATTGTGGCAAAAGCATAAATATTCCAGTCTCCAGTCTCATACCAGCTCTCAGCAATCATGCAACAAGACTCATCTCATTATCCCTAGAAGTCTTTTTACTCCTAGCTACTCGTGCTTTTTGGTTCTTATCTCCATGTCGTCTTTGGGCAGTCTACATTCTCTGCAACTTCTCCTTGCGCACAAGGATGTCGCTCGTCTTCAGGGAAGTGTGGGTTTGGCCCTGACTATTGTACGGGATGTCAAGGAACTTGCAATGCTGTAGCAGAGTGCGGGCAGTATGCTGCGCTAGGCAATCAGGCTTGCCTACTAAATATATGTTATTCGTACTACGGGTTAGTAATTCCGGGATTGCGGACCGAACTTGACACCTTATATAAAGTTCTTTGCTGATTTCTTCAGCTTCTGTGGTACAACTATCGTTATAGGGAACTAGATCCTCGATACCTAGGCACCTTAATAGAGGCACAAATTTATTCTTGCTTCCAGATTTCCTTATCCTCAAAAGCGCCCAGGGAAATGGTATTCCCCAAAAGAGAAACGTGGCGGTGGCCCTGACGACTCCGATGACAAAACATCAGGATGTGCTACTCAACCAGCGATATTCTGCATGGATACGTGCTCAAGGGTCAGCCGGTCACTCAGCTGTTCAGCGACATGTACTGCAACCAGCACAGGCTGCGATCTTACCGGAACCACCACGACAACAACCCAGGGCTGCAGCTCCCAACCTTGCCAAACAGCAGTTATCACTACCATTGGCGGCGACCCTGCTTCTTCAATAACTATCTGTCCCGATTGTGAAGCAACTCCGACAGACCCAGGCTCTACCCTACCTCCGTACACACTCCCAGCTGGAAAGATCCTGTAGTGGCTCCCGATTCCACGCTATTCACAATCACGTTTGTCACAAATTATATTATCGACACCCCAAGCTTTGATGTCGACACTGCAGCCGCTTTCGCAGCCATGCAATCCATCGACTTCCAGCAACTCTCATTCTTCTCGGGTGGAATTCTTACCGTAGCCACAACAGCGACCTTCGCCGAACCAGCAGGGCCTTTGACAATCCCGGTATCTCAAACGATACCCGACTATAGCACCACCTTCTGTTGCAACCACAACTGCAGAGCAACCTGCCGTGGTGAACCCGGGAACTCATCCATGTCAGTTATCATCAGATTGTCCGCAATCAAATTGCAATTTCGATCAAACGCCGGTATGTGCGCCGAACGGGACATGTCTTGTGGATCTAGTTCATTGAATCTTGGGCCTCCCGGACGAAGGCCCGGAGGGCGTATCCGACATTTAAACCATTTTTAAAGGGTTTTAAAAGAAGTTGAGACATTCTTTTGTAATAAAAAGATATTATGGGAGCCTTAACGCGTTTCAAGTAAGCTTAAGTCTTTAATTCTTAGCTTGAGAAATGTTTGATAATAACACGAGGAAAAGGAAGCCCCATAAATATAGGCTGCCTGTCACTAAATTTTAGGGCCACGGTCGCTAAATTATGGGCCGTAAGTTCTAAAATTTCGTACCTGACTGTTTCGTGAGGTGCGATACTGATTTTTAGAATAGCCCCACTCCGCGCTCCCTATTTCCCCCCTCTTCCCCCTATACTTATATATGTATATATATATAGAATAGAGTCAAAAAGATAGAGAGAGAGTAACTATTTTAAGTAGTAGTAGGGGCATAGGCAGAAGGAGGGGAGGCTGGTAGTTTATAGGCGTAGACGAATTTTGGTGGGGTGGATCGTGAAAATCAGATTTAGCGTTTTGCGTTTTGCGCTGGCACATTTGATCCTTACTGCTTTCCGTAGGTTCGGGCTTTTGGCTGGTGAACCCTTCTAGCTGATGGTTTTTTCAAATGGGGCTGGCTGATTTGGCAACATCTTTAGAACAGTGGGCAGTAGTGGGCAGCACAACTAGCGTACAAGAAGGTGGGCAAGCCTCGGGGCTAGGGAGTTGAGAATTTACAATTAGACATACGGCAGATCCCGTTCACCATTGGCGAGAGCGGAAATAAGCACAACAGAGCAATTCTTGGCGAGGATAAGGGGCACAGTGGCCGACCTCGGAGAGAATCCGAGTCATGTCCTTATGATGCTTCACGTCGCCGTCCGAATTTTGCTTCTCTTCACCTGCCACAACACCAAACCCACTATTCAACGTGGTCAGATTGTCAATCAAGATATCCAACACACGAGCGGAGCCCAGCGAACAGCCAGTATGTTTGCACAGATCAAAAGCGTGGAATCTTCCGCCATGAATAATCTTCAGTTCAAGGTAACGTGCGATACAAGCATGACGGGTGTTCCATTCTCTTTCGTCCCATCTCTCTCCCATCTTCAATTCCGATTCTTATCGGATGTGACGAGTTAGAAGAGGGATTAGAGAGTCTGGATCTGAGAATATACCGTACAAATGAACTTGATCTAGATAATTCTAGCGAAAGGACATGCTTTCCCCTCCCCCTTTGGCAAGGAATCCTAACCTCTTTTAGCCTTTGATCAGAAGCCAGAAGAAACATCAAGATGTCGACTGATAAGATTACTTTTTTGACGAACTGGTAAGAGTTGATTATTGACAACGCTTTCATTTGGGCAATGTCGTGCAGGTATATTCCATGGGGGGAAGCTAATCAATGAATTGCCAGGCATGCAACACCATACCATGCACCCGTGTACCTTGCCCAGAAGCTAGGATACTTCCAAGATGAAGGCATAAAAGTAGCTCTTCTTGAGCCCAATGATCCAAGCGGTTGGTCTCCAGTTCTATGTACCGTCTATTGTGATCCCTCTAACTCGAGAGCTATGCAGATGTCACCGAGATCATCGGATCAGGAAAAGTCGACTTGGGTTTCAAGGCCATGATCCACACTCTCGCAGCGAAAGCCCGCGGCTTCCCCGTCACATCCATTGGGTCCCTTCTCGACGAGCCATTCACTGGAGTCGTTTACCTGAATGACAGTGACATCAGTACCGACTTTCGCAGCCTTAAGGGGAAGAAGATTGGATATGTTGGAGAGTTTGGAAAGGCACATAATTTCAATCCAGATGAACGAAGGAATGCTGACAGTGTCGGCATCGCAGATTCAAATTGATGAATTGACGAAGTACTACGGCATGAAGCCCACAGACTATGAGGCCGTGAGATGTGGCATGAATGTCTCCAAGGCCATCATTGAAGGTAGCATTGATGCTGGAATCGGGCTTGAAAATGTCCAGATGGTGGAACTGGAAGAATGGCTCGCGGGCCAAGGTCGTCCTCGCTCCGATGTCCAAATGCTGAGGATTGATGAGCTTGCTGAGTTGGGCTGCTGCTGCTTCTGCTCCATCTTGTATATCGGTGTGTTCCTCCCTTCGGCCTTCACATGTCATCGACTGATTACCCGATAGCAAACGACAGATTCATGGCCGAAAACCCCGACAAGATCCACAAGTTTATGAAGGCTGTAAAGCGAGCCACCGACTACGTCCTTGCTGCTCCTAGTGAAGCTTACAAGATTTACATAGACAACAAGCCAGAGATGGCTTCTCCTGTCAATCGTAAGATCTATGAGCGATCTTACGCATACTTCTCCAAAGACCTGAAGAATGTCCAGCGTGACTTGGAGAAGGTGACTAAGTATGGCAAGCGGCTTGGGGTCTTGAATGCAGACTTTGAGCCCAACTACACGAATGAATTCTTGACCTGGAAGCTTGAGAGTGACTCGGCCGACCCAACGGGTGATCAAAAGAGAATGCTTGCTCTGCAACAGGATGTCGCCAACAAGGGAGGCTTCCAAAGACTTGATGTCAAGGTTATTGCTTAAGTCTGGCGGATTTGAGGGAATCGGAAATTACTCGCCTGTTCGCGTACTTGGATTGATCTTGTACCTACCACACTCTTTTGATAATAAATTGAATGTATTTCCTCACGGATTTCTGTAATGTGAATCGCTACCCAAGTCTTCGAGTCCAACCTGATCCTGGCATTTACTGGGTGTATTTAATGCTCTTGTATTTCACTTCATTGCAATTCATATAATAATAATAATTTAAAAGATTAAATAATTTGCATTTTATAATTCTCTAAATATTAATAAAAAGTAAATATTAATATTAAATTAAAATAAAATATTTTATAAATTTTGAATTATATATAAATATTAAAAAAAGTAATAAGTCAAATAATTATAAATAATAATCTTATTAATAATTAATACTAAGCTAAAGAAAAGAAGGAGAGAAAGAGAGAGAAGAAGAGAATACAAAGCGGGAAATACTAGCTAAAATTACTGAAATGCCGGCTAGCTAAGTGAAACCAGTTATATAATAGCTACTCTTATATAACTCTGGCTAGTACCATTATAATATTATTATTATTGAGAATGTACCCCTTAGTCTGGTATGACCTGACAAGGGAATAGTATAGCAGGAGCAGAGGCAGGAGAGGAGACTCGATTATATTAACTAAAGAGAGAAGAAGAGGAAGGGGGATCCCAGACTCTTATGGAGCTGCAATCTCGCTAGTCTATACGACAGTGCCACGTTTGCACGTGACCATGTGACCTGTCTTCTCAGCAATTATTATTAATAATTAAGAAGTAATATAAAGAAATAAAGCAAAAGGTTTAAAGTATAAAATATTATTATATTTAACTTTATATAAAAATAAAATAATTCAAGTTTAATATCTAGTTAGTTATAAAGCTCCTTATAATACATTTCACTCTTAGTTATATTATAAATAAGTCAAATAAAAGGGCTACTATTTGCTTTAATCTATTTCCTTTAAGGGGTTTCTCTGTAATTCAATACTACAGACCCATTTCTTAGCGACCAAATTTCTTCAGCTCGAGCCATCGCAATAGTGGGAACACAATTATGGCCCAAGACACACCAACCCAGATCCCCAAATCAGCACCATACTCACCCACCATTTTCGCTATCGGCCCAACATACCAAATCTGGTACATAGAAATGATTGAGCCCGCCCACCCAACAAGAAAAGCCATCAGAGCAGCAAGACCAACAGGCAACTTGGAGCGATCCGCCCAAATCTCCCAGTCAAACCCGCAAGTCCGACGGAAGATGAACTGCTCCTCGAGGGAAATGGTAAGATAAATGGTAACCCAGTATCCCATGAGTGCTAGGAAGTTCTCGAAAATGTCAAAGAGGTGGTTTCTTCCCCCTAATGCGCAGGCTGTGTATATCAATACACCAACACAGGACAGAAACCATCTCGGCAGTCTCGCGAGATATCGACCCATGATCTGGAAGCCGAGCGTGGCGGAATAGGTGCCAGGAATATTATTCGCAATGAGACCGAGGGAGACAATCGCGCCGAGAAACTTGCCAAATCCACCTAGGCCTGCGTAGCCTGCCATGATCAGAGCTCCCGAGGACACGTTGTAGGCGTCTTGCCAGGCGCTGTTTGAGAAGGTACCGGATGCTAGGCCCACACCCATCATGTTTGCGAAGGAGAGCGAGAGGCCTATGCCGGTGAATGTCATGAGGAAAGTTTTCCATTTTTGGGTTGATGGCGGGTAGTAGACGAAGTAATCAGCCGCGGCCGGGGCCCAGGCTACGGAAGCCGACAAGCAGAGAGAGAGGAACGACAACCGGTTGCCGTTGATTGTCTCGGTATTGCCGGTAGATGTGATGGAAGTGTCGAAGGTTGGACCAGCGCTCCCGACCAGCACGAAAATTGCTATCAATTGTGGTGCCCACGCCCACCTAAGCAAACAGAGCTCCGTTAGTCAAGTCATGCCCTCATTGCCACCACAACAGAGAAACACGGGCGAACTCACCTCTCATAAGTCTGAAAAATCGACATCCCAAACACAACCACAACCCAAGTGACAGCAGCGACAATAATCACACCACCAACAACACTAATCCTCCCGCCAGCAACAGCAGACAACACCTGTCCCCCAACCAGGCAATCAATCATCCCATAACCCAACATAATAACAATATTCAAAAAACAACAAATCTTGCTCGGGTAATACCCCATAAAGTATCTAGCAATGACCTATCACCCCACATCAGTCATTCTCCCCTAATTATATAAAGAAACATTAACTAACCATCGTTCGATTCCCACTCTGAGGGCCAAGTGTGCTCATATAAGCAGCGCCAGCAGCCCCAAGGGCAGCTCCAAACGCAGCACAGAGCGCCGAATCAGTAAACCCCAAGTCATAAGCCAAAGGCCCTAACATGCCCACGGCGATGTTATTCGCTGTGATGTTAGAGCTGAACCAGAGCAGCATCATCCGCATATACCTCGACGCAGTAATCTCATGACGTTCCTCAACCGGGACGCGCTCGAAACCGCGCTTTTCGAGAAACCCAATGGATAAAATTTTGTCGTTCAGGCGTTCGAAGGGATTGCTTCGTGCTGGCGATTGTGCAGGGACTGCAACTGCATACTCGGGGGATAAGGAACCACCGGCATCAGCTGGTTGTGTGCGCATTCCTTTCTCTTCATCTATTGAGGTGTCTGCCATGCTGTGCTGTGCTCTGGTAGACCGGCCAGAGCGACGGTCGATTATCGAGCAATGGGGGGAGTTTCTCAAGAATGCGCGATGTGGCGAGGAGAGAAAGAAAAATCTTTGACAGAGGGTGCGGGTTTTCTCTGCCAGTGACTACATTACCCAAGGCTCGTTGCGGCCTGCCCCCATCCTGCTTTCGCAATGTAACTTGGGTTTCCTTGTAGAAGACATCTCATTGGCACTCAAAAGCGGAGAGTTGAGATGGATACTTGCCGTATCGCCCTTTTTAGGAAGGTGCTTTCGTCACTGCAGAAGAACCCTAGCCTCGTCAATAACACCCATGTCTCAGAACAAGAATAACTGATACGAATATACTTGTACCAAATCGAGGAGGCAAGAAGTGGTTCTGAATAGCTCCAGGGTGTGTTCCATCTTTATTATTAGTTACTGTAGTTTATATACCCCTGATCTTTGGCAGGCTCTTAAGAAATGAGTAAAGGGTACTGTACCAGTCCCCTGCTCGGGCCGTTTGCAGAAACGACCCGAACATGACCCGATCTCGTGGTTTGGACAGAACAGATAGTGAGCCCGTGGAGTTTATCTTGCACCGGCAAATATCCAGTCGGCGCGCCCCCTAAAATAAAAACAGCAGACCACGACTTCGCAAACCCAACCTTGAAAATCCATCAACATGGAGCTAGAGACAAAAGGCGGTTTGGCAACGGTTTTAACCTCGTAAAAGCATGTGCAGTATACACTATCCTCGGCTGGCGAGAGGTCAGATACCCGTGAGAAGAATATCGGTGCCGGACTGAGATATGGAATGGAGATGGATCGTGCAACAGCTTGGGAGTGAAATTGAGGAATGTATTGTTGGGATGAATAGGTTAGGTGTAGGTGGAGATAGGGATACAGAGGGATACGATTTCTCGAAGTGTCCGGATGGGAGTGAGAGTGTGACTTGGGCGTTGAGCGAGGGCAGAACGGTGGATGAGAAAGGGGGTGGAGAGAAACATTTGAAAGGGGGGATTACGAAGACGATGGATATTGTTGTGCTGAGCGAGGTCTGGAGGTAGCTTTGCAAATGTGCTGTACTAATATGGACGTTTTCTGCTCCGGAGTGTTGGCAATCATTCGAGTATTTGTTGCAGCGAGCTCTCGGAGAAATGTAAGGGGTTTCTCTCTTCAATGAAGCAACTCCTTTTGCGGGTATCCTACGGCGCCTATGCCACGTCCCCGCGCCTAGTGAAATGCCAACGGCAGTGATCGACGGGTTTTCGAGTCAAGTCTGGCACGCCTAGAATAATAACGAATCTGAGATATGTCTCAGGCGCTACCAACTATTTTCTGCCTTTAGATGGAGACGGAGCGGATTTTCTTGTTGAAGTCAGCGGGTAGACGGGACAAAACGAGGAAGAAAGGGGAGTTGACAAGTTTCGTAGTCAGACTGAGAGGTAGAAAGTTGAACAAAAGGCAACATCTAATAACAGTAAATTATCTCCTATTCCAGTCCATCTCCCAAACTTTGTATAGTCTTGTGAAACAGGTTCTAAATTTGCCTGTTCTTTCAGGGAAGGTGGAAAGAATAACATTTATTACAGAGCGCTAGCTCTTCGGTCACTCCAGTGGATGCTTATGTTGCGGAGCACGATAGGATAATTTTTGGAAACATACATTAGTTATTGAACCCTACAGTGCTATGTCTCTGGCTAGCCCAATACAAACCCCACAAAGGGAATGATATCTAAAGATAACAGAGCAAGCTCGTCGAGCCTTTCAAATGCTCCCTTCAATTTTGTACCAGCCTTCTATTTCCATTTTCCCATCGCAGTTGAGTTTCCTATCATAGGCGCCTAGTGAGACCAGATCTAAGCATAGAGGTTGCAAACACCAGAGATGAACGTATAAGCAATACAAGCTGGATTGCCCCTGCATGCAGCCAAGCAAGCGTCAAGGCTACCAATGTTGTTTGGGGTAGTAAGAGGTGCTTGACCGGCAGCTGGGATGCCGTTCTGCGGGTTATCGTGCGTGGCCCCAGAGACGATGTTCTGTCTCTTTTGGTTAACGCCGGTTGGGTTGCTTGCGGTTGGAACGACAGTTGGGACGTTGGAACAGTCGATATCGTAAGCGACGAGATCGATGGCAGGAGGGATAGCAGAGGCTGGGACAGAAAAAAGTTCGCAGGTGTAGACGTTGTTAACGAAGCCGAAGAGGAAGCATTCGCAGCCGGTATGAGCCTGGCATTGGGCTAAGCAAAGTGCTGCAGTAGCTGTTGAAAATAAAATTAAAAATGTACCAAAGGATTGAAGAGTTCGTTTACTTACTAATGTCAGCGGGCTCTGCAAGTGGAGTCTGGGCTGCTGTTCCTGTGGGAGGAGCTCCGCAGATATCGCGTGCGGCGAGTGGGGATGAAGTGGCGACTGAGAGGGCTGCCGCGATGGCGAAAACAATGGATGTGAAGGAAGGCATTTTGGGCAGTTGAAAACGCTGAAGTGTGACTTAAGGATTGAGAGTAAAGTGAGTGAATTGGGGTTTCCGAGAGAAGTCTGTGAATGGAGATGATACTGCTGTGAGTGAATGATGAAGAAAGCAACGTTCGACAGAACTTTTCGTATCTTTTATATTAATTCTTTCAAAATAAAAAGAGAGCGTAGTCCGGTAACTACAGGAGTACGGATACCACTATTCTTAGTTCACGAAGCTGCTAATTACACGTTATCCTAGCTGAGCAGCTCGGCGACGCGAAATTATTCCTACAATTTTGGCATCAAGAACCAAGGTAGGCCTGACAACGAGCTACAATAGGTAGCCACAATGACGTCTATCGCCATTAATTGAGGCTTAGATGGGCTGGGGAAATAAGGGATGCGCAAAGTGGGCAGAAAATTTTATCCTGACTTCGTCACTCGGTACGTAATCACCATGAGCATGCTTACCGGGAAGGTCGCTTAGGGGCTTCCCTTGTTTCAGGATATAACTTAGATTCTGACAAAAGTGGCTTGATTCGTACTCGTGATTGATTGGCTGCCTTTACTTTTTTTACGCTTCGAGTCAAGCGCCCCGCAGAAGCTCAAACATTCATCTATTTTTAGTTAAGGTAATGCTCCCTCGGAACGCCCAGGCTTTAACGTGAAAGTCGGCAAAACAACAATCTTCGACAACCTTAAAACCTCTTCTTTTACTCAACATCTCGATAACTTCCCCGAAAGCCACAGGGCGGCAACCAACCCTCGCGGGTGCGCGGCATCAATAATGGATCCCCTCAATGTTATTTCGTCAATCACTGGCATTATTACCGCAGCGGTGCAAGTCTCCAATCTCCTTGGCCAGATTAAGGATGCGCCAACACTGGTCTCGGCGGTGGTGACGGAGGTGGACCATATCCAGCTTATTTTTCGTGCATTGCAAACTTTCCTTGACAGAGCGACTAAAGTGCCAGGGGGGCGTGCTGCGCTGATTCAGCTTGATGATATCGTTGTGATTTTGACACAGACAGTGCTTGTATTTTCCGAGCTAGAGTCGCTGGTCAGCCCGCTCTCGAAACAAGTCAAAACGTCTTACTTAGCACGCCTAACGTGGACGAAGGTACAACTTGGTGTCGAGCGCCTTGTAAACCAATTGCAGAGACACAAGACGTCGTTGACGCTCCTCCTGCAGATAATTCAGTGGTAAGCCCATAGCCTCTCAGGCCTCTAGGTTCTTTAGTGAAGCTTAATTTTGGCTTTTCCTAGCGATTCGGACCTTCAGGCGGGAGAGGCTGCCGGTAACCTGCGGCGGCACATCGAGCAAGAAGTAGAGCTGGATTCGGAGCTATCCCGACGACTAGAAAACCTCCAACTACCGCCAGATGTTATTGAACTTGAACACCTGGGCGATCGAAATATGGAGTCTGCTAAGAGCTGCCAGAGATTGAGAGAGTCAGATTCCAGACCTGCAAGAATAATCAATATGGCGTCGCCCATCCAAGAAGCCATAAGCAATAATCTTGAATGCGACAATTTAGAGCCTTCACACAAAGCCTTGACTGTGGAAGAATCCTTTGATCTAGTTTTAGCCTCTACCAGAGTCTATAGCAGAGTGGACGATCGAGAGGTAGACGCTGTCTCATCAGTATCGACTACTAGATCCCGGGCCTGGTCCATCTCTTCCGGGTTGAGCCTTACCGAGATATCCGTCATTTCAGTCATCAAACTGCCCTTATATGAGCCTGAATTGATCCGATTTCGCCGACTAGCATCGCCATTGCCTCCTTCCAACTCCAGCAGCGCCGGCATACCAGATACTCTAAGGAGATTGCGCAAGGAGTTGGCAGACTTTGACCGTGATCCACCTAGCTCGTGTTCTGCTAGTCCGATTGGAGACGATATGGTACATGCAAAATACTCACTGGTTTTTGCGGGAAGCAGCTAATTCGATCTTAGTACCATTGGTCGGGAACGATTATGGGTCCGGTAAGATCACCATCTGTCTTAGCTAGCATTTCTGACCACTCTCTAGTCCGATACACCATACGTCGGAGGGGTATTCTTTCTGGCTATTCACTTTCCTACCGAATATCCCTTCAAACCTGTTAGGGTCAATTTCACTACCCGAGTTTACCACCCCAATATTAATATAAACGGGTCGATTTCGTTAAACATTTTAGCAGACCAATGGACTCCTGCGTATACGACTTCAAAAGGTGATGGCTGGAGCCTATTTATATGGCAGGAGAGTACTAAAATTAGCAGTTTTGCTTTCGATATGCTGGCTTTTGGAGAATCCAAATTTCGACGAGCCTCTGGTGCCAGAAATAGCCCACGTCTATAAGACTGATCCAGCACGTTATGAAGCAACGGCGCGTGAGTGGACGAGAAAGTACGCCATATAAAACGGTAATAGAGCAAGGAACAAAGTAGAGGCTGTTGTGTTCAAGGCCAATCGTTTAAGATAATGACGTTTTTGTTTTAGGGAGACATTGTTGGCAAGTCTATCATTCTTGAAGTTTATTTTAGTGCGACGTCTAGGGCGCTCGCGCCTAGTATTACTGTCAAGGCGTAGGCGGTTGTAGGTTGAGATAAGGTAGTGGTTGGGATTTGAGAAGGTGTTCAAGAGAAGTGATATAGGAGAAGAGTTGGATTTTGGTGAGAGCTATTACGTAGCTTTAAATTAAAAAATTATGAATTTTATGCTTGTAGATAAGCAATAGTAGGTAATTGTGAGCTTTAGGGTCTAGAATTAGCGCTCCATCGCTGAAACTAGGCTTTCAAGCGCAGAGTTTTGGTGCTTAGATGGTTGGTACAAAGAAACAACTAGTGCCAAGAGACTATTGGTACTATTAAATCACTGGTGCAAATAATTTGTTGGCACCAAAAAAACACTGGTACTATCAAATCACTAGTACAAACAATTTGTTGGTACCAAAAACCAAGCACACCTCGCTTAATGTGGATATTAAGCGGTGGTCATCGCCATTAGAATAATGCTCCCTCAAGTCAAGGCATTCACAAGATGACCTAAGAGGATCGAAGATGATCCGTTTGATGAGACGGTACCCATCAGCATTGTGAGGCTAAAGGTAGTATTATTAGCCGGAGTAGTTTGGGTTTTAGTATAAAATTTCACTTTACTCTAAATTCTAGTAGGCCGCATTCGTAAATGCTATCCTATATACTGACAGTTGGCCAGGCTATAAGTTGGGCGGTAGATGTGTGCCATGTTGACGTGATCAACCTTTTAGTCTCGTTCAACTGGGCGGACAGGATAATCGAGGAGGCTGTTGGTAAAGCCATTGCAAATGGCGTCTTAGTCTTCGCTCCAACTTCAATCCGGCTCCAGCCGAATACAACGAGAATTTTAGTGTTCTTGGCGAAGGAGTTGAATCGTTGTGGCCCGTCGATCATAACCACGGATCCACGATGCGCCTTTCGGGGACGTCCGTAGCAACACCCATTGCTGCCGGCATTTCTGCTTTAGTGCTTGAATTTGCGAGACAGGCTTCCTCGGGCCGCTATCCTGGGCTAATGGAACTCGTGGCAAGTCCACGGGGCATGCGACTGCTCTTTAGATACATGAGCTCGAGCAGAGACAATTTCGCCTACGTGGTCCCATGGAAACTGCTCAGTATCAAATCACCACCTGGAGCAAATGAAGCAAGAATTTCTAGCATATTGCAAGAGGACCTGGACTTCAATGATACGAATCGGGAGGACATTCAGATTTCCTCAAACCTGGAACGTGACCGAACTTTGCCTCCACAATTGGACAGACCGCTAGGCTTTGTTGAGACGACCGATCCTGCAAGGTAAATCGCAGAAGACTGGTCGGTAATATCAGTTATATCCTCTTCATCACCCACCACCTGCAAACCGAGGGAACCGTCCAACGTAAATGTAGTCTTTCCGCCAGGGGTCTTACGCGTACCAACCATCGTAGTGGTAAGGTTGTGTTGAACTAAGAGAATCAAAGTAATAAAAGGATTCAAAGTGAATTCTAAAAGAAACAGTGATCAAGAAAGTGGTATGTGGGGAATAAGAGCCTATGCAGTAGAGAGAGAGACAACGAAAAAGCAATATATGAAACAGTGAGCAAAGACAAGAAGGTAATCCCTGCCCACTTCTAACCCAGTCTTCTCACCAGTGGCGTTTCGTATTCGGTCCGCAGGATGCTTAATAGAAGTTTCGATAATACAATCTGTAATCTGTCATAGCCATGTAGGCAGGCATCGGCCCTTCTCGACGCAGGTCAGCCCAAATCAAGGCACGTAGCGCATATTATCGTCTCCACTTCGAAAAGGAGCTCCACGTAATTCATCCGCGGTGAAGCTAGGCAGTAACTAGCGACGTCGTCGGGAGGCATTTCTTCGATTAGCCAGGTCGCAACTCACGGAAGGAATGCTAAAGTCAAAGCCTCTGCTATCGTAATCACCGAGGGGTATTGCCGTAAGGGTTATAATAGTGCGACAGCAAGGAGAGGAAGCTGAGCTGAGTTTATGCTTGTATCTTAACTAATCTAATTAACTTAAAAGGAATAATCGCTGTTATAGACACTTAAGAGCATCGACTCTAGAGTAAGAGATCGAGGGTTTTAGCTTTAAACCAACTGTATTATTAAGGTTTTTAGCTACGGCAAGGCCGATGGAGGATTCTAGGTAAGTCTAGGCAAGAGGGGTAGGGAGCGTATGGCAAGACACCAAGCGGCCGAGCGAGGGAAGGGTTAAGAAAAAATTAAAGAGGAGGATAAATAAGCAATAAGGGAGCGCAACTTTTATAAACGTCAAAAGCGGCGGCTGGCTTGTGTATACACCTTGCCTAATACGGCGGGCGATAAACCCCGGGGGGGGGGGGGGGGGGGGCGGCGGCGGGGGTAAACACCACAACTAAGATTACTTTATTATAATAATTACTTTATTATAATAATTACTTTATTATAATAATTACTTTATTATAATAATTACTTTATTATAATAATTACTTTATTATAATAATTACTTTATTATAATAATTACTTTATTATAATTAAATAATCTTTAAATATATTAATTTATATATATAATTTTATATATATATATATTATTATTTCTTTTTAGTTTTTAGAAATTAATTAATTTTTACTTTCGAATTTTATATTTTATTTTATATTTCTATTATAATAATAAACTAATATAATAAAAAGACTCATATAACAGAAAATATTATTATTATATAATTTAAAGAAATATTTAATTAGTTATTAAAGGCTTAAAAATAGAAAAATTTAAAATTAAAATCTTCTTTTATTATTTTTTACTTTTTTCTTTTCTTTAAGAAATATAAAATAAAAAATATTTAATTAAGTAATTACTAAAAGCTTAAAAGAAGATTTTCAAAATCTTTCTTTAAAATTAAATAATTATTTCTATTTTATTATATTCTTTTTTTATTTAAGAAAAAGGAAATTAGAAAATCTTTTACTAAAATTAAAAACTATTTATTATTTTATTTCTAAAAGTACTAAAAAAATGTATTTTCCTATATACTTTTATATTTAAAGAAATTTAAAAGCACTAAAACTTCCTTAAAACTATAATATATTTCTTTAATAAAAGAAAATCTGGCTTTTATTATTTATATTTATATTTACTAATATAACTTCTAGTATTCTAATTATAATCTAATTAATAAAGTATATAATTAGATATATAATAACATATATAATATTAGAGAACTAGAAGCTAAAATAAGGCCAAAATGAAATTTAATCTAATTATATTAGTACTATAATTATTTAGATAACTACTTATTAAATTAAATAAAATATTTAAACCCTCGAGTTTTTAGTACTTTTTGCTTTACTCTCTTATAAATTATATTAATTATAAATAAAATAATTAAAAAGCAAGCTTTATTAATAATAAGTACTTTAAATTTAATAAAAAAATTCTAATTAGAAAAAATGTTTAGAATTCTTTAGAATTAAAAATTTCTTTATATAATAAGCTTATTTTCTATAAAAGATTTACTAGTATCTAAATTATATATTAAATTTAATAAGAGTATTTTTAAGAAAATGTTTTATTTAAAAAGTTAGAATATATTTAAAAAAAAACAAATTAAAATAAATAAATAAATAAAATAAAAAAGACAATAATTAAGTTATTAAAGAGATTTCTTAGTTTATTATTATAGAAAAAGAGTAATTAGTTAGTTCTTAACTTAATTTAGTGTCTTTATTATAGTATTATTAATAAATTATAGGGCTATTTAATTACTAATAAATAAAAGCAAAAAGAAAAATAGAAAAGTTAAGAAACTGTCTTTTTATATAACTAATTAAAAATTAATTAAATTAATCAAGATTAATTAATTAAATTAAATTAAATTAAAAGAAACTGAATTATATTAATTATAATCTAATTATATTAATTAATTAATTTAATTAATTAATTTAATTAATATAATTAATTAATTTAATTAATATAATTAATTTAACTAATATAATTAATTCTTTAATATACTGCCCTTACTTAAACTATACTAAAATATAATTAGGTCAGATTAGTTATTGCTACTTTTTCACTTAAATTCTTATATACTTTATCTTACCTTCCCATAATAAAACTTGAATTAGTTCTTACTTCTTTAATAATATTCCTTTAAACTTTAAATTATAACTATTATATTAAAAATTACTCGAAAGGAGCTTATTCCGGCCAAAAGATTAAGGCTTTAGATTCTCTATTATAAAGGCTATATACTCCTTCAGATTTCAACCAAAACTAAGGTATCCCGTACTACCATTACTTTATTTATCTAATAGTAGTCCCTTGCGAATAATAATATATTTAAATCCAAGCCAAGAAGTAGTACTCTATAGAAACTCGACTTTAGAGCTACTCGGAAGCTTATACGAGATATAGTTAAGAAGCCAAGAACTAGTCTAAAATCGCTTGGAATACTTTCTAAATCCGGTAAGTATCTCTATTATTATATAATTATAATTCTTCTCAAATTCTTTGGAAAAGCAAAGTATAGACTATATAAGAAGCCCTTCTTGATCCCCTTGTATAAGCAAAAGCGTCGGTTCCATTATCGGGAAGAAAAAGCTATAAAACGGAATAATCGGAGGGTATATTAGAGTAATAAGATGACTTTTGAAATTGGAGAAGATTTGAGAGGTTTCTAGGTAACCAGAGAGGCTGGAAAGGAAGAGGAGTATACGGATAAGAATTTACGACCTATATTCAAGAGCAGAAGGACTAGTATGGGTATATAGAGTTGTTTTTATAGAGACGAGATAGGGCCGTTATATATACTACCGGAAGGAGAGAATATAATAGTAAAGCAGTATAAGTAGGTACTTTAATACCTATTTATTCTATTCTATAATAGTATAAGAGAGAAATATAGTAATAAGGTTATAATATAAGAGGATAATACTCTATAGCATACTGCTAAAATCATTATTAAGTATTTGGAGAATAAGAGAATTAAGCAGATAAAATAGCTACTATAATCGCCTAATCTCAATCCAATTAAAAATCTATAGAAGTATATTAAGGATCTAATTGCTATATAAAGGTATATGGTCAAAAATATAAAGGAGATAAGACAGGTATTGCAAATAGTATAGTACCAGATTAATGGAAACTTTCTCTTAAAACTCTGTAATTCTATACCAAGAAGGTGGGCAGCTTGCCTTAAAAATGAGGAAGGAGCAACTAAATACTAAATAGCTTTAATTTGAACCTATTTGGGCTACTTAATTTTAAAAATTGGGTGAAATATATTTGAGGCGAATCACGTAACGAAGACTTATCTGACCTGATTGTACTTATAAACACACAAACAAAATCAATGGACATTAGGAAAGCTAGACGTATAGACTATATAACTCTCGTTACGTTTCATCCGCTCCCGTCTCGAAATTTCTCCTCGGAGGCCTCACCAATAACATGAATCCCTCTTGTCCACAATCTAACCATGTATTATCTATCATGTGTTAAAAGGTTTATCGCTCCTCATAATGTGGTTCTGGAGAACAAGTGTCGAACATCCTACCGCCATAGCGATCGAGATAATAGGCATATTAATACGAGCAAAATCCAGACGCTTAACTGGGATTTCTTTCTTTTCAAGGATATCTCGCCAGAGGAGACCGGCAAGTGAGGCGCTGAACGCAGCACTAAAGGCACGGTAGTTGACACCAAGCGCCATAGCATATATTGTTCCCCAGAGGGTCCGGTCTGAAATTGGAAGGCTGTTTTCAACATGGATCTGTTTCCACGTTTGAATAACACGGCACAGAAGAATAGTAGTACCGATGTTTGTGCCTGCAAACTAGTGAGAGAAACAGCACGTTAGTTACCGATATATGATTTTCGACAGAATGTTTCTAAAAGCTTACATTACATAGAATTACAGATACGAAAGCAATCCCTGTAATAGCACCAACGGTTCCTGTCGTGTTCACCCACTAGCAGGTTGTATTAGCATGATTGTCCCAGCCAACCCGCTTCTAAGGTGTATTGGAACAGGAATTGTCCAATAAACTTGGATGATTCTGAACAAGGGGAAAAGAGATTCGTGAATCCACATACATAATCCCATCCATAGGCAAATACTGCAACCCAGCCTTGTGCCACCAAGCCTTGCACCAGAACGAACATCGAGAAAGCGAAAGGCAAGAGCTTGTATGGTAAAAGAGAAAGCACTGCTGTAACTGGGGAACGTAGCTCTCAACCGCCACTGTGCAAATTTGGCGCGCGATATAAATCGCACAAGGATGGGCTTTCTTGAATCATTTTCCCGCAGGATATCAGCCGAGATTCGTATAGACTCAGATCCTTCCTCCTCGTCCTTTTTGCCTACAACCGTCCTCGTTATTTGTTGAGCCTCGCTAGAGTCTGGGCGAGCTGATCCTTGTGCCTCGTTTTCAGTGGTCGCTCGTTGCCCGTTCTGCAGACGTTCATCTTTTAGAGGCAGAATCAAGAATGAAGATTGAACTCCCGCTCGCTCCCGCCTGACTCTAGCCTTTTTCTTTTCCAGCGCCTCTTTAGCAATTTTCCGGTTATCCTCCCTGTTCAACCATCCCGACCCAAGATCCCAGCAGAACATCATGAATGCAGCAGGCAGCGTGATGTAAAACACGGGCGTTTCTTTGCCCCCTTTCTTCTGGTCACTAGCATTGACCACCAACAGGGTGATAAGGGTGGCGGACATAACAAAAGCCCCAAACATAGCGCTCTTCCTGTTGATAAAAGGATTTAAGACCTCGTCTGCTTCTGGATCGTCCTCTCCTTCGGCAAGCTCCCTGCTATCAGGAATGTTAGGGTCTACCGGCTTCTTGTCCGTTTGCTCTTTAAGGAGCCAGGCCCCCTCGGTCTTGCGCGGGATATGCTTCTCTTTTTTGAAAATTACAAATAATAAGAATGGGAAAAGAACGATAAATGTAATAAAGACAGGGACAACCATATTTGCAGTGTACGTGATGAATTTGATCCCAAATGCACCCGCGAGTACGAGAATAGTCGGATTCGAGGAGACAAGAATTGCCGAAGCAATATTTGCTACAGCAAATTGAGTATGAATCCATGCTCGTGGGTGTGTAATATTATTTGACACTCGAGTCAAATAGGCGAGAAACGCGGTTCCGGAAAGAATAATAGGATCGTTTCCGATGAAGCTGCCTAGAACAAAGAAGAAGATATAAAGTAATAAGAAGAGCAGTCTCCCCTTCTTGCCTCCTTTTTTAAGTACCTTCAATGCGAGCAACCGAATCAGGCCGGAACAGTCGATCGATATGGCGATATATGCTAGTGTAAGGAAGAAAATCATGATGTTATAAGGCAGGATATCGTTTGCTCCGAGTGTGCCGTCGTGAACTTCTCTCTTGCCAATTGCGCGGATAGCGAGAAGGAATAGATCCGCGATCAAGGGTGCCGTGACAAGGTTCACTGGGAATCCTTTATTACTCCGAGAACGCTCGTCCGGCATGATCTCCAAGCCTCTTAGGGTATTATGGATAGGATCGGAAATACATCGATGGATTGGGATGTGAAATGGGAACAGGACAATTGTATCTGTACGGAAAAGGAAAAGTTAATAATATGATCTCTAGACGACTTAGTCAGATATCTCGCTGTTTCGGACTTACTGGTGCCAGCGAACACAACAAGTGTAATGATTGAACGCCAGCTTCTGATCTGGCTGGTGTCTGTACTAAATTGTTCCATTTTGCTCGCGCGGAGTCTTGATGCCAGCGAGCACCACGAGCCGGTGCCTTGGCGTTGGAATACGCGAGAGAGGGTCGCTTTCGGACACGACTCTTTGGTGCAGGCAGAGAGAGAAAGATGGTCAGGACGGCTTCTGGCGGTATGGGATCAGATTTGCAAGGTGTCGATGAAGTTCCGAGCAACAAAATCCACGTATTTGCGAATATGATTTCCAGCAAAAGGAGGACTTGGGTTGGAGCGAGTATCGGTTCCGTAGCAATGCAGAAACAGAAAGGCTCGGAATCAGGGTGGACTATCAGCCTCCATTGTTCACAGCCTCAAGCCATGCCTAGGCAACGGGCTTTAGGTTGCGCCACAAGAGTTCAGTTGTGCGCTGAGACAGCACGACGGAGCACCATAAACGCCGCAGCGGTAAAAATGAGGTCCAGATTGGACGCCAAAAATTGCGTGCGGATCGCGCACAATCAAAAGGTATAGAATCGTAGTGTGAAGCTGTTCGGGGACAAAGCATCCTTCGTCAGAGGCTAATAAAGATTTGCCAATTGAGGTCTTGCGCCTGGTGGCAAGTCGTTAGTAGACGGACTATGTTGGCTGTACCTTCTGCGTAATATTGTATGAAGGAAGGGAAGAGAGGTCATGGTCACTGTTTAAGCGACGATCGGTGAGCCGATTAAGGAGCGGGAAACTCCCACTCGGGGCTTGGGCATATTTTGCCTGAATGTTTCACCTGATCGGCGACGCATCCAGCAATGCGCAAGCTCTGGGTAGAAGAACACACGGCACATCCCTTTGTGGGCGTGGTGTGGCGCATTCATTACAGGATCATACCATGTCAATCGCCCTCTGAAGTGTCGTGAGGCTCTGAGCGTTCAAAGAATCCTTCACTGAGGTAGTCATGGCAGGGCTGACTGGACTGCGGTCCGCAGGGTTACGAATATGGGCGTAAATACTTTCTTTTTCGCAGCCTCACCTTTCAGGCTGGCGTCTGGGCAATAGATAAACCTTTACTTGCCAACGTGTTTAGCCTTAGCCTCCCGAGCTTTTGTATCCTTTTGACACTCTCAACGATGGCAAGACTGCCGTCAGCCGTGGTGCTCGAAACCCTATCCAGGCGCAACAATCCACAGACAGCAACCAATACCACAAGCCAAGTCTTGCAAGTCATCTGCGAATTCCCGCTCTCTGGCCAATACGGCGTGGGTTGTCGGGTTTTGTAAGCATGTCCTTCATCTACTTGATCTATCCACTTGTCCTCCACCATATTGGTGCAGATCAATTGGAAACGTGGAACTAATCTCTGTCTTGTTTTGAACGTTAGATATTATATTCTCGTCGCTGTCTGTTTGGTTAAGAATAAATCCGAACTTCTCAAACAAGTCTGTTTAGCTACAGCGTTGATTTTCCCTGCCGTGGCCGCGATCCATGCGGTCGTCCTCGCGGCTCTTCACAACGATGGTAGGAGCTTTGGTCCGTCATGTTCCGGGTGATTGACGAGAAAATCTAGGTTTCGTCGATATGGATATCTTTGGAGCATTTCAATTATGCTCAATAGGAATCTTGGTTGGTCCCGTTACAGTCAAACGGTCTGGGTAGGCCTAAGTCCCCCGAACTAGGAAACAAGGCTTGTACCCTCATATTTTGCAACTGGTGAATTGCTTAAGCAACATACTAAGGTTGAATGATACGCAAGATACTGTCTTGAATCTATTATTTTGGTTCACTCATGCCAATACTAATATTCTCTTCCTCTATAGAACTTACTGGAAGGCCTCAGGACGGAAATTGCTCTTGCCATGGACCATCCTTATCCTTGCCGGTGAGTAGTAGCCTGAGTGAGCTGTTGAATAACCGACTCACATTCTCCAATCAAAGGATTATTGAGTTTGACAGTCGAGTTCTGTCGGACCAAACCACACCCTTGCCCATATGACGATTCCGGCCAACCCACCTCCACCGAGGCGCGGGTGTTCAACTACACTTATCCCCCTACTTGTAACCTCACCTGTTCAGTTTTCGCTGGCCCGTTCTCTCGTATTCGACAAGGATCAGCAAATAATGTTTTCGTTGTCCCCGCACCAGAAAGGATCACTTTTGGCATGGGCACCCTGTTCGCCGCCGGATGTTGTATCCCACCGGTGCTTTATCTAATGTCCATTTGGATCAAAATTCTCAAGCATAACTGGCTGGAGGACTGGGCCATTCGAGAAGACGATAAGCAGGGCGCAGGTGGAAGTACAAAAGCTATCCCACGAAATAGAAAGGAACTGGTCCGGAAGATCCTGGACAATCAGGAATCCCTCGTGATTGGCGCTTTCGTAGTCTGTATTCTTGTCCTGGGCGAGCTGAACTTCTCCAGTGCCCAGGTTAATTGGCAGAGTGAGCCCATGTCGGCTGTTGGTAGGCAATGCTCTCCATTGACATGAGCTAGATAGCTAACAGTTTTCGTTCTTCTTGCAGGCCAATGGGCAGCAGTTGTTGGTCCTGCCTTCGCTGTCTCAGGGGCTTGGTACGTGAAGAAACAAGGGGGATACATGCCTTCAGTGATCAGGGTAATGCTTGATAGGTGCCGGCTTGCAGTATTATCCCAAGGAGTTGCGGCTGGAAATACGAATGATGAGGCCCGAGGCTTGCCACATAGAAGAACTTCGAGAGAAGCCAAAGTCCGTCCGCCGCCGCAGGCAGTTCCTACCCCCGGAGAAAGGGTCTCGGGCGAGTCTCTACATCAAGTACGTACGCCGAATCGAACCACGACTAGCCGAGGCCTCTTTGTGCACGAAATGGAGTGGAGGGATGAACACGGAAATAGGTTCATTAAGATTCCATACGAGGAATATTTCCATAGGAACTATGACAAACACAAAGACAGATACGAGCGAAGCCGCGGTGCAGATAGGAGCGTCACACCGGTTCGAGGACAACATTTAAGGGCAGGCAGCTTGACTAGTGTAAATGTAGGTGAGGGAGTTACTCGTAAAGAGCCTAGCACCGCCTCTGTGGAACAATCATCTCGAAGACCAACATTACCCAATGAAGGTACATCTTCGGAACAGTTACAAACAGCGCAACAAGGGCCTCTTAGGCTCAAGGTACCGTCTTAAACCCGAAGGGCGTTTGCTTCCAATTGAGTATTTGGATAGATATATGGAACTTAGAGTGGTCCAGAAAGATGTCAATGGATATGTATTGGGGGGAACTTGTGGCCACCGCGTGCGTGAAGCATTTGGTCCTCCGAGCTGTCGACAAAAAGCGAGTCACTCCCAGCAATGAAAACGGACATGTTGGTCCCGCAGGAGACGCCGAAAGGCACGCTGCTTCCGAAGCCAGTCAAGAGTTTGGTTTAACACCCGGGAATGCAAGAGGCCGACTTCTCCACTTGTTCTCGCTCGAAATGGCCATGAATACGAGTGAAGGAATAGTGCAGAAGGCCATACCAACGGCCGCTTGTCCAAATCAATAACAGCAAGGAAATTCAATTGTAAAGCGTGAAACCCCAACAATTCCAGTTTCCATGAGGCGATCCTGCTGTGCACGAAGACGTGAGGAGGAAAAATGCGGTGAGGGGGCTTCAAGCGAATTCGCAACGACACAACATCACTTCCGCAACTTAACGCAAGTCATCTGCATTCTGTATATGTTTACTCACTACGCCATATCTTTTATTGGAGACGAAGTGGAACAACGAAAGGAAAAGAGAAAAATCGAGGAGGGAATTGTATTTTCATTGGTTGTATTGTGATTGGCAAGAGTAAAAAGGACGTAAGGTTTACATTCCTGCACGTTCGGGCCCTTTTGATCAGGCTGCTGAGGTCTCGAACGAGCTTACGTGATTCCACGTGTGCTTCATTACGTACAAAAGCATGATCCGAAATCTCACCTCAGAGCTTCACGTGACGTATCACCTGATCTGGTCGCCGGTTAAACTTTCCAGCTGCGCCACAATTAGCTCGAGAGAGCAGAGGAGAGGGCCATGATATCCAGATGCGAGCTGGAGAACAATCAAGGCATCAGCACCAGCATCAACACCTGCCTTCCTCCTCTTCGCCCCAACGCTGCTGGGACACCGAGTCGCAAACACTATCGCGCAGTCGCAACTCTCTCAAAATGGCACATATCGGCGGCCTAGGCGCATTCTTTATTATTGTTGTGTTCCTGCTCATTGCCGGCCTCGCGGCTTGGGTCATCTACACTCACCTTCGAGCTCGGAGACTCGGCCTCCCTCAACCAACCCTCTCCTCCTACAATCCCTTCCAACGCTCCGAACGATACGGCGCGCCAGGTCCAGCACCAGGAGGAATTGTCGGATGGGTCAATGATAAGGTTCGCGCGTTCAGGAATCGCAACAACCGATCGGCGGGAGGAGCTTACGAAGAGCCATTGAGCAGCAATGTGCGCGGAAGAGCAAGCAATAGAGGATTTGGACATCTGGATCCCGATGAGGCGTGGGATGCGAGAGTAGGGACGGAGGCAGACGCATATGGCCCGGGAGGATATGACGAGGAGCAAGAGCTTGGTTTACATCGGCCCGGCGGACTTGCACCAACCCCTGGGATGGCGCCACCAGGATACGGAGAGGGAGCTCGAGGAAGAAGTCTGAGTCGAGAGCCGGAACCATACATCGGGGGAAGTCAAGCCGGTCTAGACAGGAGATATGATGAGGAGATGGGCAAGGGAAAGGCACCAGCGACCTTGAACCCATTCGATGATTCCGCAGAGCCAAGCAACGTCAGCCTCAGAGGAATTAGCCCGCGGCCGATAGACACTTCGCATGCGAATACAACCCAGGGCCACAAGTCACAGGATAGTGCAGACAGTCCTACGGAGAGAAGGTCAATGTTCAGAGAGAATATGTAGTTGTTGGTCTCACAGATTTGGCGTTGGCGTTGGCGTTGGCGGTGGGCGGTGGGGTATTTTCACGATTTTACGATATGTTCAAGCTTTGAAAAGCAATGGCTTTCTCTGAATTTCAATCATATCTAGTTTTCTGCGAACCTGTGAGTGTCTGATGATCCGATGGATCCTGTCCATTTCGAGACGCTTCTCCTGCCATGCACGTGTTGATAAGATCTGGAAGATCGTGAAAGTCTTCTTTTAACCCCACCATCCCGCCATCCCACCATCTCTCCCTTCACTCCCCGACTTCTCCCCACCACAACTCATTTCGCACAACATGGCCGAAATCAACCTGCAAGAGATCCATGACCTCCTCATCTCCGTCGCCCACGAGGCCGGGCGCATGATGATGGCTGCAACACCTTCGTACCTCTCCTCTGGTACGAAGAAAAATTGTATGTCCAACCCTAGCCCTTCCCCCAGACAGCACAGCTAATTCTCCTAGCGGCCGACCTCGTCACCGAAACCGACCAAGCAGTCGAAAAGTTGGTCTCTACTCGCCTGCTCTCTGCCTATCCAACCTTCAAATTCATTGGGGAAGAAACCTACTACCAGGGCCAAAAGCTCACCGAAGAACCCACCTTCATCGTCGACCCCATCGACGGCACAACGAACTTCGTGCATACGTACCCTGCCTTTTGCATATCTCTTGGTCTTGCAGTCAACAAGTCTGCTGCTGTTGGAGTCATATACAATCCGTTCCTAGACGAATTATATACGGGAATCAAGGGCAAGGGGTCGTTTGTTACACGCAATGGAACGAAGTTGCGTCTGCCTCTGAAACAAGAGCCAGAGCCGTTGAAAGATCTTAGTACATGCCTAGTTGGCACAGAGTGGGGTTCTGACCGCTCTGGGAACAACTTCGCAGTGAAGACGAAGGTGTTCTCCAAACTCGCAGCAAGCAAGGATGACGGCGGGGCGATGGTGCACAGCATCCGCTCGGGGGGTTCTGCGGCGTTGAATCTTGTACTTGTGGCAGCAGGGCAGCAAGATGTTTTCTGGGAGGGTGGGTGCTGGGCTTGGGATGTATGTGCTGGGTGGTGTATTCTTGTTGAGGCGGGGGGCATAATGGTGGATGGGAACCCGGGGGATTGGCAACCGACGATGGAGGGGAGGACGTATTTGGCTGTTAGGGGGGCGCCCAGTGGGCAGAGGGATATTGTGGAGGAGATGTGGAAAGTAATTGGGGATGGGAAGATGATCTACGAGAGTTGAAGTGGTTAAAGGAGTTGCCGGATTTGTCTTTCTTTGAACATTCCACATTTCCGTAACATGAGCTACTAGAGCCTCGCTGAGCTAGAATAGAACCCCCTAGATATAGAAAGATTGCATTTCAACGGAGTCTTTTTACGACGTTCTCGGAGTCCAGAGCTCAGTTTCTAACAGCCCTGACACAGTTCTTAACATAAATCGCCCAAGCACACGAACGAAAACTGCTTTAAGAACCAGCCAATTTGGTAGCGCTGTTCCTCGAGAACTCGTCTGCTAACGTTGATTTTCTTCCCCTGGTCGTAAAGGTTTCTGAGACTTTCTCCTTGTAGCATTTTACTAGTTCAAGGTTCTTGCTACTTCTCTTGATTAGACACTGTGTCTAGAAAACAAAAGAACCGGCAGACAACCTTTTGCCCAGGAAAGTGATAAGCCTGATCATGGTGCATCACATCAAGATTCCCACTGCAGTGTGAGAGCTCAAACCTTGCTCTCACCAGCACACCATGAAGCATTACATGCCACTTCACATAATGTTGATCGAGCTTCCCAAGTTTCTTCTTCTTCACGAATACCATCTACGGCGTACATATGCTTATATACATCGTCGTAAGCAACCTCTTGCTTTCAAATGAGGGTCTCTCCCTTGGCCATGACTTTAGCCACGTTTCTCTCGATGCGTCAGATCGCCGAGTGTATTGATTGCACTGGAATAAATTTTCTTGCCATGCCCCAAGCCTTGATTGCAGAAAGAATTATTTTCGATCCATGGCCCAACGTGGCAAGTGGCTATGAGGATGTTATTTCACGTTAGAAAATTTCCGTGCATCCCTGGCTTCCACTGATGGTTTTTCGTTTCTTCTTCATTAGCCCATCTCCTGCAAACGAGGATAAATTCTGTTGACCGGTTCGACGAAGTGGAGACCAAGGCAACCCTGTGGCAATTTGTTTATTTGCAAAATATCAGACTTCACAATAAAGGGACCTTCAATCTCGATGGCCTCCATCTTAGACCCGGACTCGTGCCCCTACCCAATGTATAGATCTGGTGGATGTTAGAATACCCCTTCATCCAGTTCCAGTGGGACCATGCGAGAAAGAAAAGAAGAAAAAAAAGAAGAAGGCAAAAGAACAGCAGGGGAAGAGAATTAGTAACCCCTTCGTAGGACAGGAGCACTTCTCAAGAATTGCCAGTTGAAATGGCCTCAAGATACGATAGTTAGAGTTCTTCTCTCCGGGCAACCGTTGACTTCCTTTCTTCCCAGTTGAAATCATGCATGCATGTGCTCTAGAGCTAAGAAGAAATAATAAACTCTTTGGCCTCTCATTTCGGGGGGCGCTCGTGGTGGACAAAAAGGCGGCACTGATTTTTTAATGTCCCAAGTCGAAGTTATACATCTCAATCCCCCGTCCCTCGACTCGTAGTATATTCGAATTCTACTTAACCGAGTCTCTTTAAAAATTCTCCAAATTCTGAATTCCTTCTCCGGGAAAGGTCAAATAAGTGGCCAATTTTGACCTGGGGCATTGAAAGTCAGTGTTGATTTTTCTGACTACCACGTGAGAGGCGAATTGGGGCAAAGGGGGCAGTTCGGCTAACCTTCAAACCCCGTTCGATCCCCTCTGAATAGGCGAGGATAGCTTCTTCAGACTTTAAGACGCAAGAGTGAGAAATATGTCGCTCGTTCGTCTTTTAATGTTTTTCCCAATCAAATCGCTTTTCGTTCGTCGCATTTGTAGGCGGGTTAAATTTTAATTCTTCCCCCGCCACTCCACACCCACATTCGGTGAACTAAAATCTCACGGCTGACATGATACGACGGAGGTCAACTTCTTTCCTTACTACCATAGCAGCGAGTTCGACATGTTCTCGGGACCTCAGACCAAATAATGCGCCTCGAGGCTCCTCGAGGATCGGCCCCTCGGCGATCCAAAGATGGAGGTAGCAAAGGCTTCCAATAACCCGAAACAAATGAGCTCGAGAAGACATTTGCCAAAGACAAGAACTGGATGTGGGACTTGCAAGTAAGACTCCTTTTCACCTTCTGCAATCGAGCTTGGCCGTATAATTTTATTGACACCCGTAAAGGAATCGAAGAGTGAAATGTGGGGAAGAAAAGCCTAATTGTCGTCGGTGTGTCACGTTTGGCTCCATTTGCGACGGTTATGGGCATCTCTATCGACAAGCTCAAGCAGCGCAGGGAAAACGCAAAGTTATTCGCCCACTGCAACCCAAGGATTCTTCACAGCTTATCAAAAACCCCTTTGCAACACTGTTTCAACACGAAAAGGAGTCTTGGTATTTTGCATACTTTTGCTCAAAGACTTCATATGAGATATTCCCAGATTTCGGTTCCGGGACCCTGAGGCGGATGCTGTTGCAGGCATCACAAGATGAAGTTTGTATCCGGCACGCTATTGTTGCGTTGGGGGCTCTAGATGTGACGAACGAGCACATGCCAGCCATCCCTAATTCAAACGAGAGTCATTCTCGACACCAGCTAGATGCCTTGGAACAATACACTATTGCACTGCAACACATGAAAGTAAGCGCCCCTAATACCAAGCATGAGAATGCAACTGACTCTGTTCAGAAAGCAGCTTTAAGTGAGAGGCAAGATTTCAGAACAGCGATCCTGGGCTGCCTTGCAACTGTCTGCTTTGAGGCTTGGAATGGAAATCACACCCTTGCAGTACAGCAAATACAAGTTGGACTGAAAATAATTCACGGCCATGTAAGAGAGATCCTAGCAACAAGAGCCAGAATTCTCGGCCAGCCATCTTTGGGAAACGACAAGGTCATGGAGGCGGATTTACTTCGAGCATTCGTAGGATTGGATGTCCATGCGCCGTGCGACCCATCCAGGGCAGCTATAGGACCTTTTATATTTGACGAGGAGAAGAAGCAGTATTTACCCCACCCGACAAACGTATTCGAATTAGAAGGGAAAAACACTTTATCTCTGATGCCAGAATACTTTGCCTGCATTGAAGACGCGCAATTTTACGGCCAGGCGTTGAAAGTGCAGACCAAGCGCTTCCTCGCGACACATAGAGCGCGTCCAAGTGATTCTTGGAACGAGTTTGGCATTAATGAATGGTGGGGACAGTGGGACAAACTGTCAAGATTCACCATCGTCGAGCACTCGAGAATTTGCGATGCCATTTTCCACTGGAATCTCGCCTTCCAACCGTTATGGAAGAAGCTCAAATCCTCGAGCTGCTCCACTCGCCTCCCTGCTGTAAAGCTGAACTTACAGACCAGGTCCTTGAGTATCGCTCTCTTGGTATCAGGAATCGACCACGAAGCGGGATTCGATACCTATACCAAGGACTTCCTCAAGATAACAAATTTTGCGGAAGATGTACTAGAAAACACTAAACCAACTAGACACAACTTCATCCTCGAGTCCAGTATTGTGAACCCGCTTCTCCTCACGGCCCATAAATGTCGCGATATGGCAATTCGAAGGAGGGCAATCGCTTTGTTGTTCAAATATCCAATGAGAGAAGTTGTCTGGGACGGGCTGTTCTGTGGCAAGGTGGGACAATGGGTGATGGGCCTCGAAGAGACTTATCTCGAAGATGGACGCGTTCCTGGCTGGGCCCGAATACGAGGAATTACAGCCCTGAGAGATGGAAGTGGCAAAGTGACATTGAGTTGTGCCCAAAGGACATCGGCAACATCGGAGGAAGTTGTGACAAGAAGATATGTGATATATGAATGCGAATCCCTGAGTATGTTAACCTTGGGGGGGGGGGTTGCTGGCCCTGCTGACTTCGAACAGGCTTCCGGAAGGGTTTTAAACGTTGAACAGCATTCTGTCGAAAGAGGCGCGCGGATATGCAGGAAAGGGAAATATTCTCCATGACTTTATCGAAGGAACGTTCGAGTCGATAAGGTTATAGTAGGACAGAATAGCAAAGATGTAATAGGGGAATGAAGGCAGAGAAGAAGGCAAGCTCGAAAGGAAGAGAAGAAAGGCTTCGGATACGGCTAGTAAGATAGCGTTTTCTTCCATACAGTAAGAAAGTCAAGAAGTGGTTTGATTGTTGAAGACCTCACTGCAGTAGAAATCTTGGACCGTGTAGCCTCCCAGATCTGGCCTACGAAGGTACCGAAATGCCCGACGCAGACCTCATACCTCCAACCTCAACCCCCAACCCCCAGCCCCCTTTCTTTCCCTACGCACACTGAAGTATCACATGCTGTGAGAACACCCCCCTCCCTATTCCAGCGCCCAGCAGGTTGCTGCAGTTGCTGCATGTCGTGCGTTGTGCAGCTCTGGCGCCGCGGCGGTGCGGGAATTCTTGTCGCAAAATCCCTCCTGGTGCTGGAACAGCCGGGCGCAGCGTCATGAACAACCCCACTACCCTTACCCACTGCACTCCACTCCACTCCACTCCACTCCACTCCACTCCTCCCACTCCTCCCTACCTCGTACAAGGAAGGCAACGGCCTGACTCACCACCCCCCTTACTCTCGAGCAATGGCATCTCCATCTTCCACCCTATTTGCCCTTCCGAATGGCTTCCGTTCCATCCTGCTCCGAGGACAAGTATGAGTACCCCTCCAGCGACAGCGACAGCGACAGCGACACGGAGAGCAGCACGACGAACTACGGGCGCGTCGATGATGAGCCCGTACACCTCTCCTATCGCAATGGCGTGCTGGCCTGGGAAGCTTCCGAGCTGAGGGATGACAATATCATCGTCGCGACAGAGGTGGATGGGAGCATTGGCCATACAATCTTCAGCCTGGCTCCAGACGCTGCAGACAGCCCTTTCGAGCTCCGAACGACACGCGCAACCCTCCTCCCGCAAGACTTCCTCGACAAACACCTCTTCAAGACTCTGCCTTCGTATCTACAGACAGATCATATCCATGTGCTTATTTCCACCTTGTCAGGAACAGGGCTCGCACCAGCATTCTTCGACGATGTTTTACATCCTCTCCTTCGAGCAATCGGGCTGGCAGATTCGGCATACACTGTGACAAGGACAAAGAGCGCGGAATCGGTAAAAGACTTTGCGAGATCTACGCTACTGGTTGCTGCGAACGGAGGGCAGGAGCAGACTGTGCTGATGTTGAGTGGTGATGGGGGAATGGTGGACACAATCAACGGTCTGATGGAAAGTGGAGACAGATCAAGGTATGTCTCAAAGTCTCTCACAGATCAAGACTGATAGCTTTCAGTTCCTACGTCAAGCCGATCCTCTCCCAGCTTCCTCTTGGCACAGGAAATGCCCTCTTCCATTCATTGCATAACCCTTCCTCGATCTCTCCGATATACATACAAGGTCTCCGAACCCTCCTCCACGGAGCACCGAGACCACTTCCAATATTTCACGCCAACTTCTCCCCTGGAGCGCGGCTTCTGACCAACGAAGGGCAGACTGCAAGCCCTCTGACGAACAGGTCACTCTATGGTGCTGTCGTTGCAAGTTATGGGCTACATGCTACTCTCGTAGCTGATTCGGATACCACGGAATATCGAAAGCATGGGGACAAACGATTTGGACTTGTGGCGAAGGACCTGCTATTCCCTGGGGACGGCAGCAAGCCACATGCATACAAGGCGGAAGTTCTGTTGGATGGGAAGCCACTTGATAGAAAGGAACATGGATATGTCCTGGCCAGTTTGGTTTCTAATCTGGAGAAGACTTTCACAATTTCGCCGGCGAGTAAGCCGATGGATGGAAAGCTACGGGTGGTATACTTTGGGGCATTGGATGGGCAGGAAGCTATGGAAGTCATGAAGGCGGCATATGCTGGGGGAAAGCATACCGAAATGACAGCAGTTGGATATGAAACTGTCGATGTACTGAGGATCGACTTCGATGAGGAAGGAGAGAGTTGGAAATGGAGGAGGTGCTGCGTTGATGGGTTGATTGTCGGTGTGGAGGAGGGCGGCTGGATGAAGGTTGGACTGGTGGGAAAGGGGAATGAGGCTGTGGAAGTGGTGAGTGATGTTTGACGAAGTTCATGGAGCTAATTATTTGCATATTTGGATGTAGAGCTTTGGTTTACTCCAATGCTCTGGCTCCCTAATTAGAAATCATGCGCGATTTTAAGAATCCATCGGATTCCTGGTTCTGATCTTCCACCGGCGGATGGATGTTCCCAGTGCCTCTAAGATGATGAGGACCACTACCGCATTCTTTCTCAAGATCCTCTGCCAGACGTTACTGAGGCCCACAGCTAGCTAGCGGACAAATCCGAGAAGCGAAAAGTGATTTTCTGATTTTCTGATTTTCGCACTGGCGCCCCGCACACCCCCCCCCCTCCTCCCCAAGGCAGAATTCCTAATTAGGGGTATAGCACCCACACGTGACTTTCGGCTTAGATAACGCAATAATAGTAAGGCTGCTTGCTTGTCTAATTAATGAAGTGAGAGCCCATACTACCGTATGAAATCGTACCAAAATTAGGCCGGGTAGTATAATATAAAATTGAGTATTTATTACAAATTACTATAGTCAGGTGACTATAGGCTATAAGCCCTTCTAGAATAATACTATTAATAGGGTCTAATGACTTCCTTAATATTTCCGAGATTAGAAATGAGAAAATTAAACTATTAAAATAACTAAGAAGCCGGCTAATTACTTTTTTTTAGTAATTAATTAATAAAATCATATAGGAATAATATTACTTGAGTTTTTTAGTATTTATATTACTAAAAAGTATATTATAATAGTAAAGCATATCCTAAACTTAATTTCTATTAAAATAACTTAGTAGATTTTATTAAAATAATACTATGATTTTTAATAAATCTATTACTATATTACAAAGCTATTACTAAATAGGCTTATATAAATATTAATTAAGAAGAAATTACAAATAGATTAAAAGATTTATATGAAATCTTAGTTAATTCATATATAATCTAATAGTAACTATAAGAATAAAATATCTAAATATATATTTAAATAGTAGATATATCTTTCCTTTATATATAGATTATAATCCTATATTATCTGGGAGATATAAATAAGGAAATACTTGAGGATCTTGAGAATTATAGTTATATAGCTTTAATTACTAGAATTATTTATATATATAAAAAGCTTAGTCTTATTTACTATATAACTATAATAGATAAGCAAGCAGTAAATAAGTAACTATTTATAATACTATAGAGTAAGCTAAATAATAGGCGGGTTATAGATTATAAATAATAGTATTTATATATATATTTCTATTAATAAGATTTACTAGTAACCCGGTTAGTCTTTTTATACTTTATTATTTTGCCCTAGCTTAAAAGGTTAGAGTCTTATTTACTAATATATTTTATTATTTATAAAGAAAGCTTATATATAATATTATAATTCCTGGATCCCGAAGTAATTATATTATAAATATAATAGATATAGTTTAAGAAAAGAGAATATATTATACCTGGGCCGGACTAGATTTAGTTAATTAATAAATATAATAAGCTATTATTATTTGGGATTAAGATATATACTTATATTAATACTTATTTATATAATATTATCTGAATATATATTAAAATCTCTAATTAGATTACTTATTTAGTTATATAGTAATATTTTTAGATTTGTATTTAAATAGGCTATTACCCTTATTTCTTTAGGGCTAATTAAGGCTCTAAACTTCTTCTTATTATTAAAGTATACTTTATATTCTTGCAAATAGCTAATTTATTAGTTATATATATAGAGAACTACTTTATTTCTGGGAAAAACACCGAGAATTAGTAGGTTAAATCCTAGTAATAGAAGCTTTAGAAAAGCTAGCTATACTAGTAATATATAAGTAATTTCGTTTCTTTATATTTGTCTTTTATTCTTTTTATTATTAGAAGAAAGTATTAGGTACTAATAATTATATTACTTTTTATTAAGGCTATTAGATCTAGTATTATAATACTAGATTATATAACTAATTCCGATTAATATATATAAAACTACTTTTAGGAACTGGCTTATACCGGGAATTATAATTACTAATACTTATAGAACCGGATTATTTTACTAGTACTTTATATATAGCAGATCTAAAATAAGATATATAGGTTTATAGACTTGTAAAATATTTATAGAATTAGAAAAGATAGATCTAGGCCTAATATAGTAGCCGGCAAGCTATTTAGACTATATATAAGGCCTTTAGGCGAGATATAATACTAGGGTTATCTTATAGATATAAAGCTTTATAATATAATTCTTAATAATTATTTAGTTTAGAATAAGTAATATAATCTTATATAGCTTTATATAAATAGTTTACTTATATACTAATATAGATATTAATGAGTTTTTACTAAGAGAAATATTAGAATAGTATTATTAGAAGCTTATATCTTATAATATAAATATAGCTAATATTTATATAGGAGATATTAATAGAAATAATAACTAATTATATATTTAAGCTTATTACTAGCTCTAATATATAGTTCGGATATATATAGCCTTAGGGTAGCTACTAATATTAGAAGAGTCCGAGAAGCTAACTAGTAGATATAATATTATTATTATATGGAATAGGATTTTTAAGTAAATTATCCTAATAAATATAGAATATATAAATAATATATAGGCTAGAAGAATACTTATATAGTTCCTAATAATCTAGAACTTTATTTAGAAATAGCCCTTTATTAGTAATATTTCTAATAATATAGTGTAATTAAATAAGCTAGTTATGAAATAACTAGGTATATTAAAATAAGTATTATTTAATATTAAATATATTATTTTTGAAATTTCTTTCTTATTTTTAAAAGTAGTACTAATAGAATTATTAAGTTTATTTATTATATAAATATTCTATATTCTTAAATTCTTATTTCTTAAAATAGTATTACTATTTCTTAAAACCTGCTTTAATATTATATATTTTATAGCTAAATACTAGTATAGTAATATTTAATATTACGAGTTTTATTAATTTACTAATAATAAATATAATATAAAAGCTGCTATTTTATTTATCTAGAGTAGTAATACTAGTAGACTTAAATCTTATAGCTCTGAAATTCCGTTTATATCTGTTTTCCTTTTTATATCTGGGATATTTTAGATTTTTAGTTTTTCTTAGTATTCTTATTTTATATTTTTTTTTCTAGAAATATCTATTATATCTATTCCTTTAATTATTATTATTATATAGCCGCTAGGTACTAGTTCTGCTTTATTTTAGGCTTTTCTTATTCTAATAGCTTTATAATTACTTTCTTTTATATTTTCTTTTACTATAAGTTATATTACTTAATCTAACTATTTTTCTAGTAATACTTATACTATTATATAAGCTTAATGGGCTATAAATGCAAGAGTTATTTAGGCTATTATCTAGGCTATAGCCTTTTATACTAGTAATAGGCTACCTGGAGCTTTTTAAGGTCTTATAAATTAAAATATAGCTAGATCTAGTTTTATGAAATTATAGATTATAGTTTTATAGCTAGTTCTCTATAAATAGGCATTTAATAATATAAAGAATTAAAGAGCTAAATAAAGAATTATTTAATTTTCTAAAGAAGTTAGTAGTAAGTTTTCTTTTATTTCTTTTATTAGATTCTTTATATGAATTTTAATAGATATTTTTTAATAAGTGGCTTTTAATTTAAAATAAATAATTGAGTTTTTTTTATTCTTTTTAATATAGTTTCTTAGTAACTATTTCCTTATTTCTTTCTTTATATTAGTAAACTTACCCGCTATTATTAATCTATTAATAATATAAATAAACTAGTATTCTATACTAGTTCTAATAGTAAAAGAGCCCAGGAACTTATAGTTTTACTAGGTTTTATTTAAACTATCTTTAATCTTTCTTACTATAGTATATATTTGGGTCCTAAAAATATCTAGATAATTTTTCTTATTTTATATTAGAATAAGACTTTATATAAAGATATCTGTCTTAAAATTACTTATAAAAAGCTAAAAAATATTTAGAAAGAGATTTTATATAAAGATCTTTATCTTGAAATTATTTATAAAGAGCTAGAAAATACTTAGAAGATATAGTAACTTGAGGAGATTAAATAATAAACTAAGAAGGCCCAGAGAGCCCAGGAAAGTATTACCTACTAGTATAGGTATGAGATTTTAAGAGTAAGAAGAGATCTAATAAACTAGTAAATAAATAAAAATATATATATAATTCTTTTTTTTAATTCTGGCTCTTATTCTTTATTTTTTCTATAGATTCTTTTTTATTTTTAGGTTTAATTAACTTATATATACTAGGATTCTTTTTTACTTACTAATTTCTAAAAGCCATAAGATAATATGAAAAGTACTACTAAAAGTATTACTAAAGCTAATCCTAATAATAATAATAATAATAATAGTAGTAGGCTATTAGATTTTTCTTTAATTTTATTATTCTTTTCTCTAGTAAAGAGAACTATAATTAATCTTATAAACTATATAAATATTACTTTATAGTAATAGGTATATTAGAGATATAAATATACTATTTCTTTTTTTTATTAGATATAGAGAATTAATAGATATAATATCTTTAGCTTTATAAATAAAACCCAAGATATTCGGGCTATTACTAGTATTTTACTTATTACTCCGGATAAAAGTCTAACTATTATTATTAAATTTCCTAAACTAATTAATCTTATTTCTCCTAAGCGAACCTATTATATAAGGTCTAATAAATTATATATAAATATTTACTAAGGTTAAGATAATTAAGAAAAAATAGGCCTAATATCTAATATACTTTTTCTTATATTTTATAATTAGCTTAGTATTATTTTGGGTTTTATTTTCTTATAAATATATATATACTTGGAATTTATAATTAATACTTTAAAGTAATATTCTTTAATTAGTTCTTATATAATTTAAAAGTCAGGCTACTAAATTTAATACTTTTATAATACTTAAATTTACTTAAGTTTATAAAGTCTTATAATTATTAGAGCCTTTATAATTCTTTATCTTTTAAGTTTAATACCTAAATAGTATTATATATTTTGCTTTTAGTATAAAAAAAACTTCTAAAAGTCTAGAATTATAAAGGGATTTTTATATTAAGGATATATTAAGGATATATTATATTATAATAATAAAATTATAGGTATTTATATATAAATATATAATATATTAGACTAGCTATACTAAAAACCATATTATATTTATATATAAAGTTACTAATTACTTTATATTAATACCGGACTTATATAATTATATAATTTTATATAATTAGCTAGCTATAAAAAAGCCCTAAAGCCCGAAACTTATAAAG